TACTATTAATTGTTTATTTTTTGTGTTGAGTTAATTGTTTGTTTTTTTTTATGTGTTTGTATTAGCGTAGCAACGAATAAAGTTATTTTCTTTCTTTCTTTCTTTCTAATATCGTCTGCGAGGTTATCGCCTATTCTGTGAATTGCAATGCACCAAAACGTTTGAAGAAAATCAGCTGGTGAATTTTATGTTTTTTATCGGTCTCTTCCCGGTCCTGCGTGGAAAAATACAGATTTTTATCTTAATTTTGGTAAAATGACATAATAATACAGTTATCCTGACCTTCTGTGTTCGTCCATCGTACCGTCGTCCGTCTTGTAGAATCACGGCAATCTCAGGTTGGGTTTAATATGGTATGTGCTTGGCTTAGGAAGAACTTACTACCTCTAAGTTGTAAGAAAACTAAATATATGTCTTTTGCAACCCGTACCTCATCCTTACCTGGAGACGCGCATATAATCATTGCTCATTCTATTGCTCTACAAGACAAGAAAAATTATATACGTCTAATAATAGAACGATAAAGCGTGGCGTTCCACAGGGAAGTGTTTTGGGTCCTTTACTCTTTATAATATATATCAATGATATCGTCAAGTCTTGTAAATACCCAATGATACTATTTGCAGACGATAGCACTATTTTTGTACAGTGTGACAATGTAGCAGAATATCGAAATAATATTAACTTTGCTATTGAAAACATTATTAAGTGGTTAAAATCAAATAATCTCAAAGTTAATCTAGAAAAAACAAAATTATGCAATTTACACAAAGAAAAAGTACTCCAAATCTAATAATAAGTTATGGAAATAAAACAATTTCTGAAACAAAAGTAGCGAAATTCCTAGGGCTGTTTATAGATAGCAACATGTCATGGGAATCACATTCAATAGAAGTCTGCAAAAGAATGTATAAATTTTCATTTGCACTATATAAACTGTCGAAAATAGCTGACCGAAAAACTGTTCTAACAGCGTACCATGGCTTTGTGGCTTCGACCCTGCGATATCGTATCATATATTGGGGACTATCAACATACAGAGAATTAATTATGAAAGCTCAAAAACAGTGTATTCGAGCTATATGTGGGATAAAGTCTACAAAAAGTTGCATACCATACTTTAGATCTCTTAAGATATTAACATTACCCTGTATTTATATACTAGAATCGTGTATGTTTGTAAAGTGTAATCCGGAACTTTTTGATATAGGAGTACAACCATCTTTAGTTAACCTTCGTCCTCGAAAACAAAAAATCCAGACGAACGTATGCAAAACTGCCCTTATGAAAAAAAATGTTGTTGAAATGGCCCCTAAATTATATAATAAGTTACCTGATCACATAAAATGTTATAATGTGCAAAAATTTAAATGTATTTTAAGTAAATTTCTTATAGATAAATGTTATTATAATGTCAATAAATTTTTATTTACTAATAATTTAAATATGTAATTTAATAATTTTATTTTGACTCTACTTAATTTTATTTCTTTGATCTGTTTTTTTTATATATATATATTTAATTTTATGATGTATGGATATATAAATTCGTATGCTGTTAAAGCATTTCACGGAGGTACTATAAAATTATAACATTGTCAACCTTGTTACCTGTGAAAACGAATAAAATGATTGATTGATTGATTGATCATTGTTGTGCTAATTCTAACACTTTAGATTGTTCCTGTCCCGTTTTAGAGAAGACTAATAGTAGTATCAAGTATCTTGGCATATTATTTGACAACACCTTAACATTCCGTTCTCATATTAAAACACTATGTGGTAGAGTGCGTAAATTGATTTTTATATTTAAAAAATTAAGACATGTTGCTAATAGAGAAGTCCTAAAATTGGCCTATTATGCTTTGTGTCAATCTTTATTAACATACGGAATTGAAGTCTGGGGTTGTGCAGCCAAAACACATATTATTGAACTAGAGCGTGCGCAAAGATCACTTTTAAAAGTTATCCATTTTAAACCCTACTTATATCCAACTTTAGATTTGTATAGAATTAGCGAAATTCTTACAGTTCGACAACTATTTGTGCTACATATAGTTTTAAAACAACATACAATTTCAAAAATAACTCAAAAGGAACATTGACGCCATAATCATCTGGTAGCTCAGTCAGTGCCTTTCTTCACATCTTTTGCTAGGAAATTCTTTACTTTTTTGGGTCCGTATTTATATAATAAATTACACCAAAAATTGTCTATTTATGAAGTCAACAGATGGTCATATAAAAATAGACTCGTGGAATATCTTCAGACTCTTTCATACACAGATACTGAACAATTACTTCAAATTATGTCATAAATATTCACAGACATACACGCAGACATGCTAACAGTCACAAACTTTCATACTTACGCTACAAAAATACGTAGTTTTTATTTATTTTTATTTTTTTTATTTTTTCTCTATATAATATTATTTCTAACCATAACATAAGTGATCTTTTTATAATATTATACTTGTTGCCAAGTGAATTCGGGGGGGGGGGGGCTGGTGACCCGTAATACGGGTCTTTGAACCTAAACAGTCTCCCATGAATGACAAAATATTGTTAAAATAGAGATGTAACACTAATGTATCTTCCATGTCGTTTGTGGTGAGAAATAAATCAATTATTATTATTATGTGTGGGGTATCTATATAGTTTTCTCATCTGGTTGGGATGTATAAATATATAATTATAAACGAAAATGAAAGGATAAATATACATAAATATCAATAAAATAAAATAAATACAAAAATACATAAATAAATAAAAGCCCAATCAGATGGAAGCCCTCGGCAGGGGAGACCAAACGGCCAAGGGTTAGGGAGAAAGGGAAAGAAACCGGCGGACGATGCGGGCAGTATCAAGGAGCACCGCCTTCTGCATTTGAGCCCGGAGCGGTCCGTCACGGAGTCCCAGTCGCCTCAGATGACCAGAGAGGCTAACTGGGATTAGCCCATTCGCAGAGACGACTACAGGAATAATTTCGGCCGGCAGACCACCCCATATGTCGGTTACCTCGTGAGCCAGGTCCAGATATTTTGATTGCTTATCTGTTTCGGCTCTCACGAGGTTCTAGTCATACGGGATGGTAATGTCGACCAAAAATATCCTTGACTGTGCCCGGTCCATCAGCACAATATCAGGCTTATTCGCAAGAATAGTCCTGTCTGTGATGATGGCCCGGTCCCAATAGAGCCTGGCGCGGTCATTTTAGAGCACGGCTTCCGGCAAGTACTTGTAATACGGCAATTTCCTATCCACGAGACCGTATTTCAGAGCGAGCTCCTGGTGTAGAATTCTGGCTACTAGGTTGTGCCTGTGCAAGTACTCGAGTTAGAAAGCGCCGAACAACCGGAGATAACATGCCTAAGTGACTCACCGGGATGGCGACAAGCTCGACAGATGTCCACGGTGCCATCCTTTAGGATGTATCTCCGATAGTTGTTGGTCTTAATAACCTGATCCTGTATTGCACAGACAAAACCCTCGGTTTCCCCGAAGAGATCACCAAAGCGTAGCCAGTGGAGGGAGGCTACTGTGTCTACGAAAGGCTCATGTAGAGCCTTGTAGAACCTCCCGTGGAGCTCCTTCTCCTTCCATACGGTCTCCCGGTCGGAAATGCTCTGCACTGCCGGGTCTTGCCATTGCTCGTTGGCTAAGGATAGAGGGGTAAGTCCTTTATCACAAGAAATGACGTCCTTATAGAATGGATCATCCGATCTCGCCAGGAAGTAATCACGGAGGCTGCACACTTCGCGATTATGCATGGTGAGCGCGCTCAAGAAGCCACGACCACCATGCTTCCGCGGCAAGTACAGCCTCATTACCGACGATCTCGGATGATGCATCCTATGGGACGTCATGGTAGTGCGGACTTTTCTATCCAGGGCGTTAAGTTCAGTCTGAGTCCACCTGAGTATGCCAAAGGTATACATGAGGACAGGCATGACCCAGCCGTTATATGCGTGTGCCTTATTCACACCGGACAAAAGGCTGTTAAGCACTTTGGTCAAGCGTGCATAAAACACGTCGCAAACTGACTGTTTCATACCAGTCTCATCGATACCGATGTTTTGTGACATACCCAGGTATCGGTATGTTTCAGCCTCGGAAAGGGTCCTTAAGTTGACGGGCATAGATAAGTCTACGCCCTCAGAGTTAGCAACCCTTCCCCTTTCAACATTGAGGACCGCACACTTATCCGTCCCAAGCTCCATTCCAATGGAATTGCTAAATTCACAAGTGATGTTTAGCAATTCCATAAGATGGGAGCGACTGGAGGCGAATAACTTGAGGTCATCCATATAAAAAAGTGGGTCACTTTTGTCCCTCCTTTCCGTAGCTGAAATCCCCTCCCGGAGCCCTCCAGTAAGGTACTGAGAGGGTTCAGAGAGAGGCAGAACCAGATTGGACTCAGACAATCGCCCTGGAAGATACCCCTTCTTATCCTTATGTGGTTCTCCGCAGCCATCATCCGCTCGCCCAGATGACAAAGGATCGTACTCCACTGCCCCATACACTGCTCGAGGAAGTCTCTAACTGTACAGTCTATCTTGTACAGCTCGAGGACTTTCTTTAGCCATGTATGGGGCACCGAGTCGAATGCCTTTCTGTAGTCTATCCAGGCGGCGGAGAAGTTCCGACGGTTGCGTTTCACCACTTTGCCAATGACCGCGTCAATGAGGAGTGGTTCCTTGGTTCCACGACCACCGCCCCGACATCCATTTTGAGTGCGCGACATCACCTGATTTGAGTCCAGGTGACAAGTAGTTCTCGCGCTCAAAATGGATGTTAGTGTCTTGTATATGGTCGGTAGACACGTGATGGGGCGATATTTGCTCGGGTCTGTGGTACCCTGATCTTTAGGAACCAAATGAGTGATCCCAGTAGTGAAGAGGCTTGGGAGCGACTTCTGGTTGAGAGCCTCTTGAAACTGTCGGGCGAGCACAGAGTGACACACTATGAACCCCTTCAGCCAGTGGTGATGCAGCCCGTCAAGCCCCGGACTTTTTCCAGTTCGGGGCCCTACGGACCGCCTCAGCTACGTCATCCGGCGTTATGATGACGGGGTCCATGGGCGTAATACCCGCACACTGACTCGCCACAACTTCCGTCCAAGGGCCCTCGCTGTGGTTTACGGGCTCTGACCACAGGCCGCGCCAGAATGCTACAGTGTCGGCCTGATTCGGTGCTGGACCCGTTCCACTTACCATTGGTCGCTCCAATGATTCATAGAGCCTCTTCTGATCACTCTGGAAGAGACGATTCTGGTTGAACCGTGTCGACCTCTCGGTATATCGCCGAATCCGTTTTCCCCAAGCAGCGATTCTCTGCTTCAGATCATCTATGCTCTCCGTCAGTTTTTGCGTTATATCCGGCTGGGACAAACTGACATTTGTCCCAGCAAACGCCATCCTGACGGTGCGCACAATTCTTGGCCTGTTGTTGCCTGATCTGAAGCATATCAGTCTGCCTATGAGAGCTCTAGCCTTTGCGATACGTTCCTCAATTCTTCTTCTCCATGCTGGGATAGCGCTACTATGGCCAGTAGCGCGTCCAGCCGTGGAAACCTTGGCGCCTATGATACGGCAGACTGCCAGCGCGGCGCCAAAAAGAATTGAGTCCGTCTCGCAAAGGTCCCGGCTGGCTTCCAAATAGGTCACCAGCATTGGGTTCAGAGCCCTCACGACAGCCCGATTCCGCTTGCTTAGAGCTATGCGGGGAAGTCGCGGTCGATTTTCGAGAGGTGTACAGCGCGTTTCCACAATCGCCTCTTCCAATGTACTCCTCATATGCTCTAATTCCAGTTCCTGGGCGACTGTTCCATCATCGTTTGAATCAACCACAACTGGGGTATTCACGGCGGCATCCACGTTTGCGGGTTGCTCTACCATTTGTGGCGCCGCATCCTCAGCCGTAGCATTCTCATCCGACGAGGGAACAGCCTCACGTCGTAGCCGTTCGAGTTCGGCGACATCAAATATATTTGAGCGCAAGATATACCGAACTCGGTCTGCCAGGTTTTGCTCTGTGACGGTTAAAGATGGCTCCAGCTCAGCAAAAAGACGATGCATCCTAGCCCGATACGCCAAACATCCAGTTTCTTCCCCTTTTGCCCTAAAGTACGCCCGCAGTGCGTTTGCATTCATTGCTTGTGACCAACGCATGCGACGTGCTCCACCAGCGGCGGGTGCCGCTTGCTGAGTCCGAGAAGACCCAGCCGACAGAAAAGCCTTCTGGTGGGGATGATGGATGCGGGGTCGGGAAGGGCTGCTAGATGACCGTGCAGCTCCTCGCGCTCGGCTGGCGGCTCGCATGCTGCCGCGTCCAGCGCCAGCTCCAGACGCGCCCCGGCGACCCCCAGACAGCGGCCCTTTGCGCACTATCTTCTTATCCATCATCCATTATTTGGGCGTCCATTAACGGGAGACGCCCAGGCCCGGCACCGTATCGTGTGTAGCCATAAGCACAAACGGGCCTCTGCACCCTAAATTCTGCCGAGGCACGGCGCTCACACCTCTCGCAAGGCGCTGACTGACTGCGTTGACGTAGCAGTTTTGTCACTTAACTGTTACGTCAGCGGGCGATGGGGTCGTCAATTCCCTACGCCTTATATTATTATTATTATTATTATATTATTACGGTGGCGCCACCTAGCTGAATTTAATTTTGCAACATATTCGATTTTCCCACGGGAATGATATTTTTTTCCGCTGAAAAGCCTATGTCACTCTACAGCCACCGAACTATCCCCGTACAAAAAATCATGCCATGCCGACGCTCTGTTGCGACGTGAAAGAAGGACAAACTTGAGCAACATATTCGATTTTCCCACGGGAATGAAATGTTTTTGCGCGGAAAAAAGGAGCCTATGTCACTCTACAGCCACCGAACTACCCCATACAAAAATCATGCCATGCCGACGCTCTGTTGCGACGTGAAGGAAGAACAAACAAATAAACAAACAAACACACTTTCGTATTTATAATATTGGTATGGATAGCGAAAACAAATCAGCAAAAATATGAACCTTGATAAATAAACTTTCGTACAACAAAATAAAGAAAACTACTTCTCCAGCTAAACTCCAGACAGAAACTACCATGCTAACAGATCCTTTAGAAATATATAATAGAAATATGTGAACATTTTAACTAGTACTTTTCAACCATCGGTGAATCCTTGGCAAGTGAAATACCGTCTTCCTTTCATCACAATAATATCTTCACTCCTGATAAACACACGGTGCTATCGGAAGACCAGATATTGTCACAACTGAACCCTACTACTATGGAGGATGTCCTCAAAATCATCAACACCATAAGTCTTAACACATCGTCAGGTATCGATGGAATCAATACTAAATCTGTCCAGTGTATTAAAAACCTAATTGCTGAAAATAGTCAAAGTTACTCCAATCTTTAAATCTGAAAATAGATCCAACCCTAGTAATTATCGACCTATATCAGTTCTTCCTGTGATATCAAAGGTATTTGAGAAAATCTTATACAACCGTCTTCAAACATTTTTAGAATCAAACAATTTCTTATATGACAAACAGTATGACTTTAGGCGAAAATCAAACACTCTATCAGCAACCATAGACCTTACTACAAAAATAAAACTTAATGTTGATCAAAAACATATTGCATAGGGATTGTCCGATCCGATTTTGTCTAATTAGTCTATAGGTTTCTCTGTCTACGGTCTACGGGTTGACTATAAATCTATGACCTTTTTTTATTTAACGGGCTTTACGGCTCTGGGTTCTAGCCTTTCTGAACATATCATTTCTTTCTTAATCTTCATTTTATATATTTTTTCGTCGCAATATGCTGATGAGTGACATAGCGAAGTTTTTGAGAGAGTCTGACGACATCTGAACCCAGCAGACAGTTGATGACGACAACCACTCTAGTTCATAAGGCGCCCAAGCGATCAAAATAACTTGAGGTTTATATCGAAATCAAAGCACTTGTTTCGTCCTTTATCTCTAATAGTTCACACGCGTGGACAAAATCGCATCACTTTTAAGTATCAAAACCCACTTCAAACCATTATTCAAGCGACAAAACAGGAGCGACTATCCATCTACGGCCAAGTTTCCGCCAAAACTTCTGTCAGACTTATTGCACCAAGCATGCCATGAAGGTTAGAGAACAGGATAACGATCACTACGTACTAAAGCATAGCCTGCCTGTCCTTGACAATTGTAGAATTAATAGCGGCGCTGACGTCGGTGAGTAGTGACTGCGAAGTTAGCTGTTTATTAGTACAAGTACATGAAGTTAGTCGAATAATGTACAAATTTTCTTCGCGGTATTGGTGAGAATATTTTCATGCTCCGTAATTTTGTAATTTTTGACAAAAACTCATTATAAATGGAGAAATATTTTATTGTGCGTGGATGTGCAAGTGATTTAGCATCTGATCGGAAAAATAGACTGAAAATAACTTTTGTTGACTGAACTTAGCGATCGCAGCGCCTCACTTATGGTTTCCATATTTCTGGGACACTATTTTCTACGGCGATCGTTCTCGTGTTCTCTAACCTCCATGAAGTATGCCAACAAAAAATGGGAACGTACAATATTCGATTCTTAAAAAAATCGATATCGATTATTTAGAATTGGTACATTACAACATTTACAGTTTGGTTTGAAAAATATTAGAATAAATTAAAAACGAATAATTTAAAACAAACGTTTTATCAGTTTCTTCGTATTTATTGTTACTGCTTATTTATAGAGGCATAGTTATCAAAATTTAAGATTAAAATTAGATAAAAATTACTTTATCCAATTACTTTCATTACAACTAGTTGAGTTGTCGTTGTTTAAATTAATTAATATTTGATTTTCAATAATGCAGTCAAAACTAATGTCTCTTTCAAAGTCATCCATAATCAATTTTTATGTTTTTTCTACCACTTTTGCCTAGTCATCCTTTGTGCCATGGGCATATGCTTATTATGTATTATAGAAGAAACAGTCCAAAAAGTTAAAGCCGAGTCACAAAATAAGAAGACAAACACTAAAACACAAAATTACACACAGTAAGCTCCTGAAATGGCGGGAGATCGAAATTACTTAGTGGTTTTTTCAGCGCGACCTTGTATATGAGTTTTTGTGCCTACACAAATTTACGATAGCGAAATAAAAAAAAACTTGTTTTATTCATGATAAATGTAATTTAAGGAATTTCAAACATAAAAATTTTATTAAACAAATAATACATTAAAGAAATAATGATTCGATTATTTGAATATTTTTTCCGATTATTCGCATAACAATGAATTTTAATCATCCTAACACTACGGTAAGGTACATAGTGACATATCATTGAAACGACGTAAAGTAAAAAAGTTTAACTGGTTATTTTTTTTACATTTTGCTTTGTTTGAAAGATTAGAATTTAAATTAGTGATAAAAGACTATACACGTTGTAATTTTTTTTGGTTCGCAAATAGAATGTAACGTTTACATGACTCTGTCTTACATGATTGAAAAAAGTAACAAACAAACGTTCATTCTAATAACAGTGAACACTGCATGCACCAAGTGGACGAGATAACAAATACAAATAAAGAAAGGAAAAAAACTCCATGAAAGATGTCGAACAAATCACGAATATTATTATAACTATTAGTAATTCTGTACAATGGCGAGTGATGACCTGCCAGTGTTTTACAGTGTGGCGTGACAAAAGTCTTTTTGCGGCCCAGGTGACTGCCAGCTCTAGGGACCGACACATCTAAATGATTTAAAATGTCCGGACAGTTGATGAGACCATGGATAATTTTATAGAGGAACATGACATCAGATGATTCCCGCCGCTTGGATAGTTGTTCTAATTTGTAGTGTGCCAATCTACTCTCGTATGAAATGAGTGTCCTGCATTGGTTATTTGCATACGATAACTGGTACATAAACCTTTTCTGAATCTTTTCCAGTCGGTTTGAGTGACACTTGTACCCCGGATTCCAGACTGGGATAGCGTATTCAACAATAGTTCTCACCAAACAGTTATAGACTGGAATGATTAAACCAGGGTCTTTAAAAGATTTTATTTGCCTGGATATAAACCCGGATAATTTAGAAGCTTTTTATGTTATTGTGTCGATATGACTTCTAAAGCTGAGCGTGCTGTCAATTAAAACGCTTAAGTCTAGGATTTCCGTGACCCCCATTCGCATGATCTTCTTTATAAGCAGGTCGTGGTTGATGAGATCGAAAGCCTTGCTTAAATCGGTGTAAATACTGTGTACCTCTTTATTCCTATCCAGTGCACATGCAATATCGTCAACAAAACCGACTAAGTTAGATGTTGTAGACTTTTTAGGCTGAAACCCATTTTGGTTTGGATGCAGGCGCTCTTTGACGTGCCAATATATTGTTTTATGAACAAGTGACTCTAGAACCTTACCGGGTGCTGGAAGTATGGAAACAGGCCTGTATTTGGACACATCGGCGGGATCTCCTTTTTTATGGATGGGGATGATGCGCGCCTTTTTCCATACGCGGGGGAAAATGCCGTTTCGGATAGAGTGGTTACATATATAGGTAAGAGGTTTTGACATACTTTTAGCACACTTCTTTAGAATGATCGGGGGCAAGCCATCCAATCCTGAAGTCTTGCTTCCATCCAATCCCATCAATTCCCTTTCTACCTCGTATTCGCAGACAGTGAGTGAGCTGATGGTCAGACAGTTCTCGTAACTATGGAGAGCTGTATTATTGACACTGGATGACTTGGTTGTCAAATTGGTGACGATGTCATCGTATATTGACTGAAAGTGCTCTGAGAATATGTCACAAATCTCTTGGCCACCTCTGGCAGTCTTGGCACCTCGAGTCATCTGAGAAGGGAGGGAATTTATGTTTCAAAAGTTGTAATGAAATATAGATAACTTCTTAATTCTTCGGATTTACGTAAAAGGTTATTTTAAATCGTGTGAGTACGCTTGTATAAAGTTATTGCGAAATGATTAATGTGAAACGTCAAAAGGTATTTCTTAGATTTGGTTGACTATAGTATAGACCATGGAGGTTTGAGAACAGGAAAACGATCGCTAGGTACTAAAGCATAGCCCGCCTGTCCTCGAAAATTTGTAGAATTTATAGTGGCGCTGACGTCGGTGAGTAGTGGTTGCGAAGTTAGCCGTATATGAGTACAAGTAGATGAAGTTAGTTGAATAATGTACAAATTTTCTTTGCGGCATTGGTGAGAAAATTTCCATGCTCCGTATTTTTTTAATTTTTGACAAAAAGAAACATTAAAAAACAGAGAAATATTTTATTTTGCGTGGATGTGCAAGTGGTTTAGCATCTGATGGGAAAAATAGATTGAAAATGACTTTTATTGAGCGAACTTAGCGATCGCAGCGCCTCACCTTAGG